GTTTTATTTTTTTTATACTATTTTTCTATTCTATTTTTTATATACTATTATCATAATATTTTATTAAAATCAATATATTTTATAAAAAAAAATGTATTATTATATGTATACATCACATATATTTTTATTTATACATATTTATTTGATTTATACTTATTAAATATATAATATAATTATACATATAAATATTCATGTGCATTCATACTAAATGCATAAAATAAAAGTTGTCATTAGTCAAAAGTAGATGTATAAAGTAAAGAAAAATTCGCTTTTCTTGTCAGAAATTAGAATCGAAATATAATAAATGCCCAACAATGGAATATGAATGTTAAGGATAATGTATGTAAATATTTCCAGCTGATATTTCTAGTACGGCCATCTAGCGGTACATTATATAATTGATTTTTAAAACGCATGATTGCATATGGCCGCGTGAGAGAGTCAAGAGGAGGTTAATCTGTGAAGGAAATAACCTGTGGCCACCTGTGGCAATCGTAAATGGTGTATGACAATGTGATCGCTGAATCCTAGCAAGAAACAACAATAATTTATCAGATATGTGTGCGAGGAAGGACGCAGGGAAAGCACATCTGTAGAGAACAATCAGTTAAGTAATCACTTCTAATCGCTTTCAATGATGTAGCTGCCGTTATCTAGAAAGACACATAACGGATATTGTTCTGAGGTTAAATCCTGACCAAATATGGCGCAAATACAAATGTCAACGGTAGACGGATTACCGAAGCATTTTGTCAATGCGATGCGCACTTTGTTCGATATAATGGATGATCAAAATATCGGCTTCGTCAAGTTTGCTGACATCGAAGGTCGCTGGCAGGACGATGGCACGCAGGGTCTACCCAAGGGTGTGCTGGACAGCCTGAAAAAAGTCACACCGCCGAATGGGATGCTATCGTTCGAAAGATTCTGTGCTGGTCTAAAGATCTGCCTATTGCAGATACAGGCAGAGGCAGATGCAAAGAAACACGATGGTCAGCCCAACAGGCCGCCATCCGCACCAATACTCATTCCTGACAATCAGAACAAGGTAGCCTGGACCTCACCTAACACCGCCGCTATAAGACCGAATAATGCCATATCCCAGCAACGTACCCTTAGTATGCCACAATTGCTGGCCAATCGCAAGGACATGAACACGCAGTTGGAGCTGATGGATGGAAGAAATATCGAACCGAAGATCAACAAAGTGTATGGTCCACCGAAACCACCACGAACTGGTGCTGCACTGGAAGGTAGAACGATGGGCCTGGAGCGTAACTTTGACAAGTCTGAAATTAGGACTGCGCTGCAAAATTGGCAGATGGGTCTCATGATGAGTGATGACAAAGAAAAGCGTCAGCTGCAAGCTATAAATTATAGATCAGATGCCAGAACATTACTGAGACCAACCAGAGTCCTGGGTGATGGTAAAGCAGTCGATATACAAAGTAATCAACTCGGTCTCCAATCCAAGAAATTATTGAATCGTCGCAGAGAGCCCAGGCGGCACACGTTGCAGAATGGTATTGATTACAATATGGTAAAGATGTTATCCTCTAGGACTCCCGACTAACCCTTGGTGATTGGTTCTGGGTATGCACTAACTAAATATTAACAGTGATACATATCTCTTAAGAATGAAAGACATGTATCTATAATTTTAATTATTTTTTAATTAATGTAATATATCAATTAAGTAAGAAGCACTGACTATTAGTCAAAATTAGATGTTAGAATAATAATTCTAAATATATTTAAATTTTAAGTTATTTAAAATAAATTACATATAGAATTATTCCTAATTTCGACCAGC